AACGGTCTTTGCTTAATTTTGTTAAAGCTTGTTATCCATTTGCAACATATGCAAAATCCAAATATCAACCAATAACTTTTAACAGGTTCGGGATCTTAATGCATCCAAAAGTTTTAACATGGGCTCTAAACACAGTCGACATCAGTTTCAGATTTCAGACTTATGGACTAAAATTAGTTGTTCTATCCACTTGTCATCCACAGACCCCTAGCTTGGCACTTCAAGCTTCTGGGCAAATTTTCTCCAATTTTGATTGGACCTCAAGCCACGCACACATGCACACACACATAAATTAAGACATAACCGCACCTCAGATAATTTTTTTACAACTTCCGTGGCGCGAGTTGCGTGCGAAAAGTTTTATAGACACAAAACGAGAAAAACCCACAAAACACTTGGATGTCCCAGTGGCCAAGTTCCCGAATGGCCGAGTGACTGTGCACCCAGTTGCTTTTATTCCGGTATTCAAGTGCAATTAGCAGTCTGCTAATTACTCTAAACGGGCCCGGCAACGTTGGCAATGGTGAACCACGCCCTTAGCTACGTGAGGCACAACTTGACACCGGACTCGGCAACTCGATGCGCGCCGTACTGTAATTTTTACTTCGCGCGGTGCAGTCATAATAAAATTATGAAGCCAACGTGCGCCAATTTTGTATTGCGGCCAGTGGCCGTGCGTCCGCGGGGCACAGACGTAGCAGACGAGACTTGAAGCCACTCAGACAGAGCTTCCTGAATATGGACGTGCACGTGGAGATGGACGCGAACGCGAACGTAGACTTGGACGTGGCTGTGTCCTGTGCGCAACTTTACTAATTGAGTTACACTCGGCTTGTTGGTGACTGCAGTCGCATTTAATTGCATTTCAAAGGAGCTGTCCTTATTGCATTTGCCTTCTGCCACAAAAGCTGACAAAAGAGTATCGAGATAAACCACATAAAATACCTCACCACACCCCACACGCATGCGCCCCATAACCACATAGTTTATGGCTAGGCAACAACAGTTATTTGCCAATTTGCCACTTGGCCGGCAACTTTGGCTGCTTTCTTTTCGGAAAGCAAGAAGCTTTTAAATTTTTTTCTTTTGCTTAATGACTGCAGTGCCAGGACATTTAACGCTTGTTGGCCGCATTAGCATTTCCGTATATCCAGCAATTTCGCGTAATGCAGTTGGCAACACGAACTCACTGCCGTTGCCAAGCAGATTTAAGCTTGCAATTGCAATTTTTAAGCAATTTGCAACACTGGCAAACTGAGGCGTGACTTGGCCAGTACTATAAGAGTCCTCGAAGTAGGCAACAAAGGGCTGCCCTGGTGCGCTCTTCTCGCTGATTCTCAAATAAGGTCAAGTAAATAATTGCAAATAAAAAACATATTTTAAAAAATTAACGGACAAGGAAAATGGCCAAAAATCTGTAGGTTTTAGCACAGCGAATATTACAAAATAGCCGCATAAGCCAGGAAACCGATAGTAGCCAATTAGCGGTGGGGGAAACCGCTGCACTTACTCCTTGGTTTCGTCCTCTGGACTGATGAAGGACTGCCGGGACTCACCAAAGCTGTCTATAAAACAACCGCCGACTCAAGAGAAGTTACCCGATGGATAGACCCCTTGGCCCCCCGGTGGAGTGATAACAACTCTACTGTCATATTATTAATAATTAATTATTATTAAATTATTTATTATATAGAGTGGCAATAGTAAATTCCACATTCGTTCGTTCTATTCGTTGGATGTAACCAATCAGTGTTCCTTATCTAGAACTATATAACTGTTGCAAAACTTGGCCAGCACCACTCTATCCGAGCTCTCTTGCACTTCTTTGATCCACTCTACATTTATGCTCCAATTAGACCGCACATAGACGCTCCACCATCGCGTGTTACAAATTAAGTGCCCACCACCTATCGTTAACTGTAATCCACTTTACATTTCCCAGCTTGTCATCCGCAACCCGATCCCACTTTCCATTTACACTACCTACGCCAAGCCACGTCAAGTGCAACTGTTAAGTGCCTGGGACGAATTATAAAAGGAACGTCTGTGAATGCAAAACGCAAAATTCACTTTTATTTTTTCGTTTTTTACGTTTTACTCATGTGCTTGTTATTATTATTTTATGCGCAAGCAGAAATTGAAGCGAGAGAAAAACAATGCAAAAACGTTCAAAATATAAAATACAAGTTAGAACCTAACGAAGTTTAAATACACTAAAAATAAACGATATAATTTCTAATTTCAAATGATCGAAATAATCATGATGTAGGACCTCCTTTTCGTTAACAAGTTAACTAATTTACATTAGAAGCGCAGCTGAAATTCAGAGGTGTTTCACAACACAGCTACAAGCCACATGTTATATTTACAATGCCTTGTAAAAAGTATAAAAATGGCAGCGCAGTTAGAGAAAGAAAAACATTTGTACTGCCTTATTATTATTGGAGCGAGCTGGTTGGGGTAGGTAACCAAAAACAATGGAGTGAAGTACGTGGAATATTATTGCAACAGTTAACACACACACACACATAAATACACACACACACACACGTAAACCCACTTGAACACGTTGCAAAGTAACAAAAAACACGCGCGAGTTAAATTTTAAGCATGTGCAATTGCATGAATGACTGTGTGTGTAGGTGTGGGTGAGTAGGGGTATGTGTGTGTATTAGTGTTCTGGCTTGTTAGGCAGCCAAACAGGAAGTGACACACACTCATGCACCCCTTCGCTCATACACGCACACTACAAACGCTTGACTTGAAGTGCGCCTCCGTCCGCCATTTTGTTTGGCTTTACAAAATGTTTTATTTTTGCGCTTTCTTTTGTTGTTTTGTTTTGGGCATAAAATGGTGTTTATGCTTTGCTGGTTTCTCCGCAACAATAACAAAATGCAGGTGTGTCAAGTGTGAAGAGTGCACAACGTTAACAAAAAAGAAATGTAATGAAAAACACACCAAATGCAGCAACAACAACAGCCCGTACGCCCGGGCTTTCATGTTTACGTGTTGGTTAACGTCCAAGTGACACACGCCTCTCTACCCTGCTTCTTCTGTTACTTTAGCTTCTTCGACTTTTTACATTTCTCCTGCGCCCCAATAAAGTGTCAATTTGGCCGTAAAATGCGATCTCAAACCCTGCAACATATTTGCCAGCACCAATAATTGGAACTGTGACGATGCGAACAGAGGCCATTAAATTGCCGTTAGCTTTCAATTTGGTGCCAGGTATTGCATGCGCTCATTAGCATTCGATGACCCCTGGCCACAGCTGGACGGACAAACGGCAGCTACGGGGAAGCAATTGAATTGAGAGAATGGACGGCAGGTACACGCAGCAGCGACTAATTGAGCCGCACAGCAGTGGCCACAAAATGCGCTAATCAATGGCCAAGAGAAGAGATAGGCAGAATAAGAGAGATAGCGAGAAATATAGATATATATATATATATGGAGCTGGGCACTTTTACACATGCCCACTTTATGGCAGGCACACGTTAGGCCCATAAAGTCGGCCATATTCGAAAAAAAGTAGTCACCACGAGCTACAGGTATTGGATGGGTACTTAAACTCGTATTGCTCGCAACTGAAGTGGACACGCACTTGAGAAGGCTGGCCTTTCAGTCTAATGTCTAATTCGTTCGTTTCAGAATTTGAACGCTATTTGTTGATTTATTCACTTGTCTATTACTTTGTATTTCTCGCTTATAATTATTCGGATAAATAATAAATGAAATCATATCTAATTTGCTAAGCGCAGGATTTCATTTTTCATTTCACAAAATTTGAATCAAGACTAAAACCCGAACCAAAACATAGATGTGGAAAACTAGATTTTGAAGCGAATTTAAAGACGTTTAGTTGGATTGCACCGCGAACCGAACTACCAACAATTTATTTTTGGGTTCGCACACCTGATTATAATACCGTTTGTAACTGTATAAAACATTTGCGTTGCATTTATGGCCAAAAATAAATTAGGTGGAAGTCGGCGGCCTTGTGAAAATCTTTCTACCAGCAAAAGAAGGCAACTTCAAGCCCGTAATTTGTCTTTGATAAATCGCCCTTTTTTCATAAAATAATTTAAAATCAATATCGCTATCCTAATTAGGAATATTTCACCGTTCCCAGCAAAATTATTAAAATGCCTTTTTGCATGTATAGCCTGGTGCTTCGGCTCTTGCACACATTTGGACGCTATAATAATTTAATAAAAATCGGACTATAAACACTAAAGTTAATCACGGGCGCCTTTCCCTTAGTGTGGTGCTAAGGGAAAAGGTTTTGAACGTAAATCTAGAATGGACTGGACTCAAGATATCTCCCATTCGTGCACTTCCGATTAGAGCACTCATATTGTTTGTTTTTATTTTTGATAGCTATCCAAATTTAAGAATCCTACCTTTTAAACGCATTGATTCTTTTGCTTTAGATTTTAATGTGTTTTTTGGGCACTTTTATGGTTCGTTTTGCGTTTCAGTCAATGCTAAACAAATAGCAATAAAAGCCGAAAAATAATAAGGTTTACTGCTGCCTGCGGTCACATGGAGGCGGGGCACGGTCGGTAGGTGGTGCGAGTGGGTGTTTGAACTTTATGTGGATACCTCGTCAGTTCGCTTGAGTGCCCTTATGGCGTTTATTGTGGCTGGCGCTGCCAAAAACTTTAGCACTAAACAGAAATTACCCATACGCCATGGTTGCCGTTGATTGCTGGCGGGGGGTTGATAGGGAGAGAGAGAAAGAGAGAGAGAGAGAGAGAGAGAGATAGAGAGAGAGAGAGAGAGAGAGAGAGAGAGAGAGAGAGAGATGAAGTTATGCTTGCTCTTATGCAATGTTTAGCCTTTCATAAACTCATAAATCTGCAGGTTGTAAAGCATAAATTTGCCTCCATGATAGCGCTGCCGAGCAGCTGCATGTTGCGGCCGGCTTTTTGGTTTTCAGCTCACTTTAAAATGCATTCGCAACTAATAAAACATTTGCACTTCACTATTAATTGCAGCTCTGTGTCGAAGTGGTAAAGAGATGGCCAACGAACCGCAGGTGCAGCCGCAAATGCTGCTCGTGGCTTTGCTGGCCATTAGCGCAGCTCTGTCGCAGGGCAGCGCCGAGAGCTCGTCCAGCTGCGGGCCCAATTTTCCGGTAGCCTGCTCCTGCGGCAATGAGATGTACGAGAAGACCGTTCAGTTCATTGTGAACTGCACAAATGCGGGTTTGCGCAACACCAGCGTGCTGGAGTACATGCCCGAGCAGGTGGAGATACTCATCTTTACGGGCAACTACATTACGGAGCTGCCGTGGAATGTCTTTGGCAGCATCAATGACTACAAGCAGTTGAAGATCGTGGACATGAGCAGCAATCACATACGCGAGATTCGCGGCAAGAGCTACCATCATGTACCGCACGTGGAGCGGCTCATCCTGAACCACAACAATCTGAGCATTTCGCGCTTTGAGGACGAGGTGAACCACCATCATCCACGCGTTTTCTCCAACTTTGTCAATCTGCAGAGCCTCCATTTGACCGACGCCTTCGAGGATCACAGCTCGCCGCAGCTGAGCGAGGATCTGCACGACATCTTCGTGAACAGCCAGCTGGTCAAGCTGCAAAAGCTGCATCTGGAGCAGAACGAGATTACGCACTTCAAAGATCGCAACGTGTTTTGTGATCTGCCTGCACTGCTCGATCTGCATCTGGGTGATAATCTGCTGAAGGACATTAACTTTGAGGTGCGCTGCCTGAACAATCTGCGCTTTCTCGATCTGGAGCGCAATAAATTTGAGTTTGTCAAGCCCAGCGATATGCGGCTGCTCAACCAGCTGCAGGAACGCGAGAATCGCACCGTCAATCTGGTTGTGGACTTTAATCTGAATCCCTTTGTGTGCGATTGCAAAATATCGCCTTTCCGCACGTGGTTGCAGGCGACGCGTGTACAGGTGCGCAATCAGGATAGCCTCATGTGCTTCCACGGTCTGCAACACGTTGATCCGGCGCCGGCGCACATTCTGCAACTGGACATGAGCGAGTGTGCGGCTGCGATGGAAGCAGCTGCTTCATTCCTGAACATCGCCGAGGATGAACAGCTCTATGGGCAGCTACAGCCGCACATTAGTGGACACACGGCCACATTGATCTTTCTGCTGATTGTGCTCAGCATGATCCTGCTGGGTCTGCTGGTGGCCCTCGTCTATGTCAGTCGCGACAAATTGAAGTACATGATGACACCGGTGTTCGATAATGTGGCCAAGAAAGTACAGTATACGTCGATTAAGGATGAGGATTGCCCGGAAGTGCATGTCTAAGCAGTGCCACAAATCCCACCCACACGTCCATATCAAACAGTAGCAACAAAACTAAGTACAGATACGTTCGTAATTTTTTTTTAATTTTTGCCATTCGCATAGCGCCAAACGTGTGCCATTCACAGGGAACGACGTCTAAGAAACTAACCAACCAGCGCATATCCTTTGAGAAGAACCTCTTCAGTTGACTCTACTCAAAACACACTCACAAACCTATTGTTTGATAGTCCATAAGCGAATTGTTGCATTTAAGGTAATAGTAGAACAACAACAACAACAAAAATGTGGCAAACTCGTTACACGCAATTACTGAAATAATGTTAGCGATTTTCTAAGTAGCATTTAAGCGGTCTTGTTATGCATTCTATGATTTCAATCGGCAAGCAGCCAATAATTTCGTAGCCCGTATATGTACATTCACATATACGAATATAAAAACATACTTACCATACATATATTGTAACAAACACGTTAGTGTTATCTGTGATTTAAGTTTAGTAGCTTTACTTTGTTAAAACTCAAGCAAACGAATATTGATGCATATAAACAACTTCAACCTGTATAACATATGACGTACTTACATATATATATCACTTACACTTATGTTTAAAATACTAATAAATGTTATTAATCATTTGTCAATTGTAATATTCTAATGATTTGTACTTTCATTTTTATGTAATTAACACGCAGTTTTTATAAATAAACTTTGAACATGATTTCGAGTGCCTTAAATACATTTATAGATAGATACTTCACAGCACTAGTGAATAAAGAACAAATTTGTTAATAATTAGGAATTCATTGAAATTTTTGCAACTAGCAAATGAGGGCCTATAAAAACCAGAGTCGAATATACGTCTGTCGGGCCTGTTTATCTCAGAGACTCGACTCAGCTCCTTCTACTGGCCGCGCAGATCAGATTGTTTAAAATCACCGACACCTTGCTACGCCTCCATTAAATTGATTAAAAAACGATATCACAATCCTGTTTGAGAATATTTTCGAGATATTAAAAGAGCTATAAGGGAAATTATAGATTTGATACGACGCAGGACTTGACTGGTAGGATAGCCGGAAAAAATATTTTCGGTGAGTGCCTAGAAAATTAGATTAGAAATTTGCAAATGGAAATTTGAAATTAGAAATTTGAAAAATTTAGTTTATACGTTTCCAGACTAGTAAAATTGGAAAGCTTTTTTCTTATCTTATCGCGCGACCTGCAAACAAAAAGAGACTACATGAGATGGCGCCTATTTCATGTATACAGATAGATCTCAGCTGACAGAGAAGGTCAACGTTTTTTACAGTGAGTCCCATTTTGGAGATCTATGTACAATATATACAGCACTTACTATGTACAGCATTTAACCAAAGAAAATATAAACAATATATTGTCATTGCAAAAAAACTAAATTAATTTTGATCAAATCTTGTTTTCAATTGTCGTGTGCGTCAATTTGTCATGCATGCTTGACCATATAAATATGTTTCTTGGCATATTTAAAAAAAAATATATACATGAAATTGCTAACTGTGTTTCTGGGCGTATATAAATCGGTATTTCATAAAGATTTTACTTTAATTTCCAATACGAAAACGGGAATGGGATAAATTTAAATACTTCAACAAATGTTAAATTATTGAAACATACTTTATTATTTAAACAACGCAAATGCGCGCCTTGAGGCCTGTTTATGCAGCCCTGACACCAGTGTTGAGAAACTTACCTAAACTAGTGATAAGAACAGCTGCTTGAACCTACTGAATCTCAAGCGAGAAAGGCGCGTACATTTTTATGGTAAGCACTCTGTAAATTGACAATCAAGACAATAACCTGGGTGTTTAGAGTAATGGTATACAGTATGCTCTATATCTGACTTCATAAAACTCATAAAAGCTTGGCATGTCGGGCACAATTTACATGAGGGCTACTTTGCGTTGTTCAATGTGTGTGTGCGTATGTATTAGTATAAACAAATTTGCCTTTTTGCGTCGCTTCTATTTTGCTTTTTGTTGTTTCATTATTTCCATTATGCAACGTCACACCAAATCACAGTTCCAGCACAAGTTTTGAATTTAACAACGCACACACGTTAAGGTTTTATACCCGGTAACTTTGTAAACACACATGTCTTCACTTCGGATTCTCAGGAATTATCGACGTGTGTGCGCTCTGCCTCGCCACACTATCTTTGCAATCCACCGACAACAGCACACCTACAAGGTGACCGCGTTCAGCAGCAAAAGCATGGAAAAATTTGATTTACCCAAACGTCTGCAGGGCAGCACGCCCAGCGTGTGGAACGAATATATAGCGCTGGCCATGCAGTACAAGCCCTTGAACCTGGGCCAAGGATTTCCCGATGATGCAGCACCAGAGTATGTCACCAACTCGCTGGCGGACATTGCTAAGGACAAGAATCCGCTGCTGCATCAGTACACTAGAGGCAATGTACGTGATTTAATGGCCTACTAGTATAGGACTATTAGTAATGTATTTGTGCAGGATTCCGAAAGCAACTAATGTGTGTAATATTGTCAGGGTCATGTGCGTTTGGTTCAGGCGCTGTCCAAGCTCTACAGCGGCCTCGTTGGAAAAGAGCTCGATCCGCTAAGCGACATTCTGATAACGTCCGGCGCCTATGAGGCCCTTTACTCTACCATAATGGGCCATGTGGATGAGGGTGAGGAGGTCATCATCATTGAACCCTTTTTTGACTGCTATGAGCCAATGGTCAAAATGGCGAGAGGCGTGCCTCGCTTCATTCCACTAAAATTGGTAAAATTTAGTTCTTTAAGGCTTTGTTTTTAAAATCTTTAAATCAGCTGATTATTTATCCTAGCGTGAGAAAGACGGCCCCATCAGCTCTGCAGACTGGGTCCTAGACAATGCTGAACTGGAGAAGCTTTTCAATGAGAAAACGAAAATGATCATATTGAACACCCCCCACAATCCAACCGGAAAGGTCTTCCATCGCCAGGAACTGGAACACATTGCTGAATTATGTCGAAAGTGGAACGTACTCTGTTTCCGATGAGGTCTACGAATGGCTTGTCTTCGATGGCGTCGAGCATGTCCGCATTTGCACCCTACCTGGCATGTGGGATCGCACGATTACCATTGGTTCGGCGGGAAAAACGTTTTCGGTGACCGGCTGGAAAATTGGATGGGCCTACGGACCCCACGACTTGATTAGAAACTTGCAAATGGTTCATCAAAACTCTGTTTATACGTGTCCAACGCCATTGCAAGAGGGAGTAGCGCGCAGCTTTGAAGTAGAATTGGCGCGTCTGGGAAACCCGGAAAGCTACTTTCTGACATTGCCGCGTGAGTTGCAGCCAAAAAGGGATTTTATGGCCAAATTCTTGAGTGATGCTGGCATGCGACCCACAATACCGGAGGGCGGATATTTTATGTTGGCCGATTGGTCGCCACTGGCACAAAAGCTGGACTTGAGTTCAGAGCCAGACAGGCATCGGGACTACAAGTTCACGAAGTGGATGACAAAGAACATGGGTCTCCAGGGCATACCGCCCAGTGCCTTTTACAGCGAACCCAATAAACACTTGGGGGAGGACTTTGTCCGCTACTGCTTCATTAAGAAGCAGGCTAATCTGGACAAGGCAGCTGAACTGCTAAAGCAGTGGAACTAGAGAGTGTATATATGTGGTGTGCGCATTTAATTTGTTACCCCAATAAACGAATTTGTTTATAAATATCGCATGAATGTGCTGGTACGATTAATCGATTATCATGCATGCTTGAACGTGTACGCAAGAGTATAACCTGCCCATGACACTGTTGCATAACCAAAAAAATCGAAACAAAATGAAGGGGGTTTATGTGTGGTAGCCTTACTCCAATCTCCTTTTTATTTGCAATCCAATAACATGTTCATCCGCACGAAGTACATTGGAATTGTTTGTGTGTGTTTCTTGAATGTGTCAATTAAACTAAAGAAAAACGTTAAAGCAACCGCCGCTTTACATATCATAAACGGACTTGAGAGCCAATTCGGGCTTGTCGTAACCCAGCTCTTCGATAGTCGGCACACCAAGCTCCTTCAGGGTCGGTGTGATCTTCTCCAGCAAGTAGGGATAGAGGGTAGCCTTCTGGTCGCCACATTTGTCCTTGCAGCCCTCTAGCCACCTGATGGCCAGCGCAATGTCGTTGACACGGCGACAGGCCCGCAGTCCAGACTCTATTATCTTTGGGCTGGGCACCAGATCCATGCCAAGCAGGTCATTCATGCCCTTACGTATCTCCCAGCCATCAATGCCCTCGCGAGCGAAATATTTCTCGTAACGCTTGTCGAACTCCTCGGCCGATTCCTCGGTGCCGTGGAGGCAGCGCACGGCGGCGATACGCGAAGATGTAACTCCAACGGTGCCGCGCATGGCGTTGGCGAGTTTACCGGCTGTAATGCGCAACATGGCTGTCCAAACAAAAACAATTCAATAGTTTAATTTTTCCAAAATTTTTGTTAAGTAACAGCTCACACTCACTTTTACGCTCTTGCTCTTGATACTTTTCACCCAGATGACAGAACGACTAGTGTTGAATAGTATGGCTAATATTTATCGAATGTGTATAGATGTAGGCTGCTGCCAGTGTTAGCTACACAGTGCTGTGCACTGCATTAACTGTCAGTCGATAAGACGAACGTTCTCGAACACTGTGTGACTTACTGAGCAGTCATTCTCATTTGTGCCCGACAATTTGGCTGAAAATCGCATTTTCTGCTGAAAATATACTTGCGAGCAGTGACCGCGGTTTATTAAATTAACATATAGCCAACGCAACAACAATAAAATGTCGACAGCAGGGTAAGTGCACTAAGAACATGCAGGAATATCGAATTTTAGTTGCCTCAGTTGTCGGCTGCTCTTTTTGTGGCTTCTTTGTGCGACGCGTGCTTTTGCTGCGGGGGCATCGGCGGCGTCTATTTTCTGAAAAGGGCACATCTTAGAGTACTTATTTTTTAATAGTTGCATGTTCGTATACACTTCTCAAGTGTGTTGCCCCCAGTGATATCGGTGGGCGTGTCCAATGCGCAACTGCATTGTATTTTTGGATAGTGCGCGGTGCCATCAGAGTCGCTGACATTTGAGGTTATGTTAAGGTTGGCGCTAATTTTGTTTAAGAGTGTTGCCCCAATGGTTTAATTTTCACGGCATGGACTTTTCATGCAAATTAAGCGCCACATTTTTGCCTAAGCTTGCACTTTGGATTCATTTCTGGAACCGACGATGCCTTGGTTGCTATGACATCAAATACCATCGATACGATAAATACATTAAGCGAACCGTTTCCAACCCGCGCTTCAGATGATTGTTTGTTTATTTAAACAATTCTTTGCTTTCCATTACAGTCCAATTCCTCCACCAGTTTCGTGGGCTCAGCGCAACGACTTGATCTACGTTATTATCGATGTGGAATGCAAGGACATTGAACACAAGTAGGTCTACTCGCTTGAATGAGAAAAAGGAGCATTGATTCAGTTGTCTGCTTTTGTTTTTGAATTCAGAGTGACAGATAACAGCTTCACTTTCAAGGGTGTAAACGCGCTGGATGCCTCCAAGAAATATGAAGTCACATTGAATTTTTTCCATTCGGTTGATCCGGAGAAGGTGTCAAGCAAGAATATTGGACGCTGCCTTGAATTCACAATACCCAAGAAGGAGAGTGGTCCCTACTGGCCCACGCTGACCACGGATAAGACCAAATTGCATTTCCTGAAAGCCAACTTTGCCAAGTGGCGCGACGAGTCTGACGAAGAAGAAGGTACATAATTGGTTTGAGCTTCACACCTGGCTGGTCGAAACTAAATATTTGATTTTCAGATCCTAAGGACAACGGAATGTTTGGCAACTTCCTCAATAGCCCGGGCGGCGATTGGAACAACAAGTTTGATGATTTCAATGTCGACGAAGACGACGACTCTGACGATAACATACCGAGCCTGTCGCAGAACGATGAGGATGAGGACGAAGGTGGGGAGGGTGACAAAGAAAAGAAGCCAGCTGCTTAAGTAGCTAGCTGTATGGGCATTTTTGGAGTAATAGTCGTAGCGTTAGCCGAGGCCCCTATACCGTTAAGTCACACACACACATAAGCCCGCACTCACACACACACACACACCTTCATAAACACTTATTCCAAAACACAAACTTGAGCAGAAAATACGGTATGTTTACGAAAACAGCTGGAAAGGAGCAAGAGATACATTAATTTTACGCTGGATTTTCGCCACAACAACAACAACAACAAATGGAAAAAGCTACAACCAATTCATTGCGAAGTTTCATTTGCAATTTATTAACTTTTTGTTTCCTGTAAATAAAGGGAATTAAAATAAACTAAAAATCAAAAGGTCAAACTTCTATTCACTCGCATGCAATTGTATGGGCTTACAGTATACATAAATCCCGATAAGTTTACTGTAGTTGTGAATGTCTGGCAACTCTGGCAGCATTGTCGCTTTAGCAACGCGGGCAAGAAGAAGCACACTTTTAAATTTTGTTGCCCAAACAAAACATGCATAGTAAAAATAGTCATTCGACAACTGCCACTAGCAGTAAACTCACATTGTATATTAATTATAATCGTACATCAAACAAACAATGGCCGTACAGAGTGGCAGACTTTCTTTTGTAGCCGAATGGTTTCATGTCGAAGCGGGAATAACACGCACTTATCTATTAACATATCATTTAAGCGACAATGCAATCGAAGTGGTAAGTTTTTATTTTACATCACAGCCGCTGCAGCCAGCTAAATTACCGTTTACAGTTTGATCAACGCAGTAAGCGCACCTTTCTGCGCCGCACTAAAATTCCCGAACTTACTACGCGCGATTTCTTTGTGGGCTCCAAGATCAATGTGTTTGGGCGTCCATTCGATATTGTCGACTATGCGGACGAAATAACACGCAACACCTTGGCAAAATACCGCAAGCGGTAAGTCGATTTAATTGGTGTCCATACCTAAGCTGTTGTTTGTTAGCTAACAGCGTTTTACAGCGGATTTGTGCTGCTCAAGAGTAGCATGTGGCCGAAGAACTTGGGCGAGTTTCTCACCACGCTGATTGATAACAAGATCAATATTAACAACGCTTTAATGGTTCAGTTTTCGCCAAAAACTGTCACACAGTTCCTGGCCAGCAAGCAGGATGATGATGTGCACACCTCGTGAGTATTATGAATCCCAAAGCTAATGCACATAATAACCTTAGAAACTGCTTCAAACAGTGTACTGATGAACGAGCTGCTGACAGGACCAGCTATTAGCTTGGAGCTAATAGGTGACAATGTTGCAGAGATCATGTCTGCGTGTTCAAAGTACAACACAGAGAACGCCTCAACCACCATCGTATTGTCGCCTAGCATGCAGCAGCTGTTCGAGCGCGAGGAGGTTCGCTATGGCTTCTATTGCCCGGAACGGGAGGAGAATGTAGCCAAGGACCTAAAATTCTTCTTCGAGGAACGTCACAGCATTATCAAGGAATGTCGTTTTAAGAACAGCACACTAGCCATTATAAAGCCGCACATCATCAAGGACGGGTATCTGGGGCAAATTTTAAATGAAATACTTACATCTGGCTTCAAGATAACAGCCATGCGCATGCTGCTGATGGCGCGTGTTAATTGTGAAGAGTTCTACGAGGTCTATCGGGGTGTTCTACCTGAATTTATACCTATGGTAGCTCAGCTAGCCAGTGGCGTATGCATGTGCCTGGAAATAACCAGCGAGGATCCTGAGAAGAATTCACATCAAGAGTTTCGCAGCTTTTGCGGTCCCATGGATCCTGAAATTGCCAAACTGCTTCGTCCGCACACGTTGCGCTCCAAATATGGCATCTCCAAGGTACTGAATGGAGTTCACTGCACAGATCTGGCCGATGATACAAATCTGGAATTACAGTACATGTTCAAGATACTCGAATGATTTCAATCACCATCGTTTTTATGTTTATTTCTTGTCATTCTCCGTGGGTGTATGTGTGTAAATAAATTACAAGTAATTATATTAAAGAACCTATTCCTATTTCTTTCCTTCCCTTGTTCCGTTTATATTGATATGGTCGAATTTCCGGCATCCAGCGCTTATCCTTAAAATGACTGTAAAAACTGAAGACACTTGGCCACTACACATCTAGACATTTCACACTTTATCGGAACTTGGAACAGTCGATAGATTTAGCCAAATACAATACGGGAGTACAGCAGTTGCAACTACACGCTCCCGCTCCGAATGCTAGAACTGGGCACATTGTCCTGCACATTGGGCAACAACACAACTAAATCTCTTGCATGAATGTCGCTCTTTCGCTCCTGCAGTCCATAGTCATAGGCCAGCAGGGCAAAGATTATGATGCACACCAGCATCAGCATGGCATAAAAGAAATACTCAGCCTTTTGAGAGCTAAGCGCATTTACTTGGGTAACTAGCACCACAATGAGATTACCAAAGGCATTATTCAAAAACCAGGCGGCAGTGACAACAGATTTCATTGAGGACGGCGCCTGCGTAAATGCAAACTGCAGACCCGGAATGGACAGCAACAATTCCCCCAGCATGAGCAGCAGAAATTGTGGAAGCTGCCAGGCAATGTTAATGCTCTGACTTGGCGATTGCTAAAAGAAACTATTATAAATAATTTCGAATTTGGAATGAATTATTAACCCACCATAATGCGATCCTGCAGAATGCCGGCACAGAAGAAGGCGCCAGCTGAGCAAATGCCGCCAATGGTGACGCTATGCAGCGGCTGCAATTCCCAGTGGAACAGTCGACGCAACATTGGAGCGGTCACATATTGCCAAAGGGGAATGATCATAAAGAGAAAGATTGGTCCTACAGCCTTTGCCTGATCCGGCTCTATGGTCACGCCCAAAACTGTGGTGTTCATCATGGCCGCCTGAAACGTCCAGCTGGAGTCCTGCTGTGCGAGCAGCGCAAAGTAAACAGGCAGCGGAATGAACAGCTTGCTAATCTATAAAGATATTTTGCTATAACATGAATGATTGGCAGCGAATCCTACTCACGCGCAACACTTTGGACACATCCGTCACAAAATACACATCGTATAGCCCCACGGCATTGTGCAACCAATAGTTGCATCTCTTGGCGGACTTGCGTCGTCGCCACTTCTCCAGCAGCGCTGCTTTAATGCAGCCGCAGAATTTGAATAGTATATTATCGCCAGACAATTTCTCCGGCTTGTAGAAGCATTTGCCCATCAAAAAGATGACTGCCAAATCAATATTCAATGATCCGGAATGAAGGACTAGAGTTCGCCATGATACTTACCCCAAGCCACCATGAAGGAGCTGCCCAGCGTGCCGAAGACAGCCGGATAGCATGTTGTCTTATCAAAGCATTGCGTGTTGGCGCGCACCAGCGGTGGCAGAATTTTGCTCAAAAAGATTCCAAAATAGTAAACAAAGTAATAGAAGGAGAAATACTCTGTCAAATGGGCGGATTGCTCTGGTAGCTTAAATTGTAGTGCACCCAGCGAAGTGATGCAGGCGCGTACAGATCCATTGCCCACAGCTATGAAGGAGATTGATACCAGCAAACTGCAAAGAATATATGTATTGGGAAGACTCGTAGATTCCCTATGTACCCTACTCACAATGCTATGACGGGCAGGCCCATATATGGAACTGATGTCATGGTCAGCAGAATCCAACCAAAGCCATAGAGAAAACAGAATCCCGATATGGTGCGAATATTGCCCATGTAACTGTCCGCCAGTATGGCACCAATAATGGGACAGAATTGTCCGAAAAAGTTAAATATGTGCAGCACAATCGTGGAGAAACCTTCCGTAAAGTTGAGATCATCGCGCAAAAAGAGCACCAGTATGGCTGGCAAAATGGGTAAGAGAGGCTAATTATTATATATTATTAGTTGCCTTAATTTGGTAACGTTGTTGTTAGCATCGGTGACTCAGCTGAAAGTCTATATTAAATGTTATATAATAAAAATATATTTAATTTTTGGCCTTTCAGTATACTTCGAGGTGCTATGGAACTTTGCTGGTTTATTGTTTATTTAAAATATAATATGATTAAAGATACCAAAATATTTAATATTTAATATTAATTTAATATTTGACCATATTTTAATGATAACATGATGTGGTATAGAATACATTTCAAGTAAAGATGGAAAACAGTTGAGAAAATATTAATTGTATCCAAAATATATACGGAAATTGGGTTTGTGGAAGAGAATTACACCTTAATTTCATTCGTTCAATCTGTTAAAAAAAACCATCTGTGTAAACAGAATAACATGCGTACACAGTATATATTTCACATTTGATTCAATGCTAGTTGGCTCCTCTTATTTTTATAAAATTTAATTGCACAAATGTTAAGACTACAGACCATGATAATAGTCCATTAAATGACTGCACTGAAATCTAGGCCATTTTCTATTACTTCCCACAAGCAAAGTATAATGAAATAGTGCCTAAGAGTTACCCAGAACACCGGGTTACGAGCTACCTTTACAAATCCTAGTTTTCTTCTGCATACACACAAATGGATTAAGGGTATAAGATTAAATATATAACGCTCTTATTGAGAGAAGACCTTGTGATCATCCGCAAAGGCTATCAATAAGACCTCCCATTGTGCATGCATTTCTGCTGTTACTGATAAGCTGGACTTTCGGAATATTTCGACAATACAATGGAAGATTACTGTAAACGACCTAAGGCAACTGCATTGTGCTGCTATAATGTGGGTCACACATCTCAACTTGGACTGTCACCATTCAATTTCTACTTACTGCGCATGCCATTTGCTGCAAAGGCCTCAAAGAACTTGGTGGCCAGTATGAAGAAGACGGCTCGTGGATATTTGTACTCAATGCGTATGTTGGATATGGGCGCAAAACCATAGTTGGGTAACGAGCTGCGTGGGTTTCTTAGCTTTTCGTGCTCCCCAAAATCAGATAATGAACCAACCGATGTCTGGGTGAGTTCCGCAAGTGCTGGCAAGGCTATGAAACCAACGCGAGAGGGAGAGAGAGAGAGTGAGAGAGGCAGTTGATAGAATCTCTGTTGATATCTTCCTTATCTTATCGTTCGAAACTTACTTTCTTCGCTGCCGATTTCCGTGGTGCGGAACATTTTTCAGGTGCTTCGGCTGCTCAACAGCGTCTCGGGAGTAACTTGTTTGTCTTTTTCTATTATGTTAAGCGAGCTCGAGTTACTAGCGCTGTGTCCGATTCGTTAGCCTTGCGGCTTTTGTGGGTCGGCTGTGGTTTTGTGTCTCACAATGTGTTTTGTTTTTTTTAGTTACGTGCGCCCACACCGAGGTCCGTTGCGCACTACAGCAGAGCATCTACTAAGCGACAAGATCTATAGCCGGCGACTGGCTCGTTTCGTAGACAGCGTGCACTCAAGAGCAAACATTGCGATAAAAGCAATAACAAAGCAATTGCATCTTGAGCCTACAAAACAAATGCGACAGGTTATCTCTGTCTTTGCAAGTCATGTGCCTGGCCGTCGCAGCGATAAGCGAAGCCGCGCTCAGTCAAGTAAAGCGAGTCACGGGACTAGCCCTGTGATAAGGATGCTGCAACCACATTCAGTCACATTTCTTATTTTACAATGGATTTTTATTAAATTAGGCAGAAAAGTATTTAGCTCGGCATACGAAACCAACTAGACAATTAAAACTAAACACGGATCTGGATGATACATCGATGAAATTCGCATTTGCAATTTGGTTGCATACAGATCGAGATGAAGGCCATCAACCAACAACCATTGACACCTTGTGGTGTGCACTTCAACTCACACCAGCTTTTTAGCCTCAAAGAAACTCTTGAGATGACGCATCTGCCAGAAGCCCATACAGACCAGGACCACAGTCTGTGCCAGCGACCACCACAGCACACGCGAATTGGTGCTTTCGCTTGTGTGACGGAAACGCTCCTCCCTATAGCGCTGATAATTCTGCTCCTTTGTGATCTGTTCGACCTGGTCGAGCAGCTGGCGTATGCGCAACTGCAGCTCGGTGAGTTTCTCCTTTTGCGCCACATTAGCATAGTCGATGGCATGCTCGCCCACCTGAATATCTAGATGCACGCGAAGCTGGGCGCCATTGAACCAGGCGGTGCTGTTAGAATACATGCAGATGACATGCTCGCCGGGTGTGTGAGATGTAAACGACATGCGGCCCTGCGAGCTGTAAACGCGCGACAGAATCACCTTATCATCGCTGTCGCGCACCTCTACATGCATGCCAATGCCGGGCGATGATGGCATAAAGCCATTTGAACGCGGATCATACAGCTCCACCTTGTAATTGACTGCAAGAGAGAATAGGTGTCAGATCTTTAGCCAGCAGGCAAGGACGCTGCTTACCAATCACAGTTGTCTCATCGGGCACCTCTTCAATGAAGCATTTGCGCTCCGTTTCCGATATGTGAAAGTATAAACCGCATGCGCTGTGTAGCGTGCATAGCACCAGGGCCAGGCAAATTAATTGGTTGCGCATATTTTTGAAGAAATTCCACTCGAACTTCGATTATTTGTATTATAACAACTAAGCTCGCCGACACGTCATGAGAAAAAGGCAAAGTGGCTACATTGACAAGTTTCCATTTGACAGCGAGAGAGCTGCCACTTGGCAGTCATAAGCCACATACACACCCATACAAACAGCTATCAAGGTCAGACCTATCTGGCAACGCTGGCAAAACAGCTGAGCGATTTGTTGACGTTTTACATTTTGGCATTTATAGTGCAATTTTAAACAGATAATGGACCTGTTATTACTCGTTGGTATTGCAACAGCGCTGCTGCTTATCCTAATTACGCTTTATTTTCTTCAAAGTAAAAATGCTAAGACAGGTAAGAGTAAATAAAAAAATTGCGTCTTACATATCTCGCTACACTTTCAACTTTCCAATTAGAAACAAAGGCAGCTGCGCAACCTCAACGTGGCGTCCCACAGCGTGCGCAGGAAGGCGTTCCGCGACGTGCCCAAATAGCGCGGAATCAGCGCAATCGTTTACGTCAGAATCAAAATGCTCCTGCTGTCGCAGCTGCAGCTGCCCCCGCCGCAGCCGTAGAATCTGATGACGACGAAGCAGCTGCTGCTGGTGACGAGAATGGGCCGCGTGTGCCACAGGGCGCTGTGCTGGATGAAAAGATGGGCGCTAAGAAACGCGCCAAAATGGAGGCGAAGGAGCAGAAACGTCTACAGCGCGAGCAAGAGCTGCACGATCGGGAGCAACGAAAGGTAAAGGAGGCCAAAGAAGATGCGGAACGAAAGCAACAGGAGGACCTCGATGCGGAAGTAGAGCGCAAAAAAGCCGAGGCTGATCGCTTGGCCAAGGAAGAGCGCGAGCGCAAAGAGCACGAGGAGTATCTAAAAATGAAAGCAGCATTCAGCATCGAAGAAGAGGGCTTCGAAGAAGGCGATGCCGATGATAAGGAGACTCTTCTAGCCGACTTCATACAGTACATTAAAGATAACAAAGTCGTTCTATTAGAAGATTTGGCCACAGCCTTCAAACTGAAAACGCAGCAGGCCATCGATCGCATTCAGGAGCTGCAGGAAAATGGCACCTTAACTGGCGTCATCGATGATCGCGGAAAATTTATCTACGTCTCCGAAGCGGAACTCGCCGCCGTGGCCAAGTTCATCAAGCAGCGCGGTCGAGTATCCATTGCCGAGCTGGCGGAGAGCAGTAATAACTTGATCAATCTAACGCCTGTTGCAGCTGGCGAAAGTAGTGCCTAATGAGATTTGTTAACCATTACCTAAATAGTTGAAGTATATATATATAAATATATATATAACCGTAAGAGCTAAGATTCTAAACTTTTTACTTTATAGGCACTACAAGTGCATACTATGTCGTGCTTTTGGAAAATCTTGAAATTCGATTGTTCCAATCTAATCCAATTATTCTTATTTCTAGCCATAACATTATTCGAAATCTAAATGTGTACCGCAATAGCGAAGCTGCAAGTATGAGTTATTAAAAGCGTGACTAACACCTTTAACAGCATACAGAGTGCATACTTTTGTGGGCAAAATTTAAAAAATATCAAATCCGATTCAATATTTTGTGTTGAAAACCTCGAAAGTATAGGAAGGATTTTTTGTTTTTGTTGTTAAAGGTTGACCATGTTATTTTTAAAACTTGAATGATTAAAACACTCACAAATGTCTATAGCAGACTGAAGGCCATCATCAATAGTCGAGCCGATGTAGCCATTTCCGCCTATCTATCCGTCCGCCTTTATAAAAACTTAAAACTTACAAACTCAATAACTAAAATTTAGTTTTTTTGAGTACATATCTAAGGATTTAAGAGCTAGAATTACCAAATTGGACATAGTAAGATCTTTTAAAATGGACTTGAAACCGATTGAACGGGTAACAAAAAACTTTCATACATCCGTTTTCCACTAATTTACATGTTGCGGGTGAAATTTATGCGTTGATAACTAGCCAGCCAGTGAGGACAAGCAGTTTTATATATATAGATTTTATTTAGATTCCGTAAAATCAAATAAATAAAACATCCATTGAAAACAGCAATTTATAGGGTATTCATTTCTGTATACATATGCACAAACACTTTTATATATATTACAAATGCGCAGTAATGGTATGCTGTGATGTGTGCCCGTTAAATTAAAAATAATAATCTTTATAGCTTAATAGTTAAAAGTGTATTATGAGCAACCGCGTGCTCTGTTTGGTTTTGTTAGAAGTAGGTCACTCCCAGCTACATCACTAGTTGTTGTTTATCTCTGTAATTATGTGTTAATTATGTGTTTTATTGGGCAACATCATCGGATCGGAGACACGCAGTGAATTCTGCAAACCGACAACACCCCCACCGCTCGGCCGCAGTGCCAGATAGAGCAATATTTCTGAGATCGAAATGTCGCCAATCACCTTGCACTGATCATCGACAACGACCAGGCGATTCACCTCGGCGCACACAATGCGCTCCATGATCGTGTACAGCGACTCGTCCAGATTACACTTTTGGTCGTCATCGAACCACTCGTTGCGATTCTCGTTCGCCTTGCGCAGCGAGACATCGACATCGTTATAGATCTTCGCAGTAGTGGGATTCTGTAAGGAATGTAAACCAAGGTTAATCCGTTTGTGAGACTAATTGGTCAACTCCAGGTTGCACTTACAATCAAATCAAACTTAGCAAAAATGTCGAGGAGCCCCAGGGATTCGATCTTGATACATGTTTTCTCGTCGGCGGTCTCGATGTTGTCGTATGTGCCGATCTTTAGATCGCGCAAACTTTTCTCCATATATGCGGGCTGTGGTATCGCGTTAATCTTCAAGAAAACGGATAATAAGTATATAACGTGCAAAATGATTTATTTAATCTGCCAGTTAGTATCACGTCGAGTATAATTTTTTTACTAACCCTATGAGAAAATGCCATAGCTATAAATATCCTTCTTACTCACATGAGATGTGTAATAGAGTACACATTGGGAATATTTCAAGTTCTGAATACGCCTCTTAATTTCCTCGAAAGGTAATCGGTATTATCCTCTCAAATCTGAATAAGGGCAAGCTAAATGTCTACAAGAATATTCAACTTCAGAGTGCTGAACATATTAATTTGTATTTAAGTCTATATTCGACTTGATTCGGGTTGTATACCAACAAAAGTTTTTATGAACGCGAACCTAATGGACCTACTTTTTATTATGTGGATTTTGATTAATTCATTTAGGTATGGTTTGTACTCACATACAAAAGCATGAGTGTCAGTATGCTTTTTTCTGTCAAAATGTACAAGACATCGCCATTCTCTGGATTGATCACAGGCAGTCGTTGAATGCTGCTGTCCCTGAGAACTTTGATTGCCTCGAAAAGGGAAGCGTCCGGTCCTATGGTGACCATGGGCATTACCTGGTTGTCTAGCTCTCCTAAGAAGCAGATCAAACTAAGTTTATTTGGACGCTGAATATTTATAAAATAATACAGACTGCACTTTGTGTCCAGTTTTTGATTCTCCAGCTCCTTCATGGCCGCATTGAGTGATTTATAATACATTTGCAAGATCTTGAAAAAGTCTGTGATGGTCACCGCGCCCATAAACTGTTGCTTCTCCGGTTTCCAGAGCCGGGCCGCACGCATACCATTACCGACAAGGAAGGCCAGGAGCAGAGACTGTGTAAGCGACCACCACAAGATTTTCGAATTGGTGTTCTGGCAGATGTGACGAAAATGCTCCTCCCGATATCGATAATAATTCTGCTCCTTTCTTATCTGTTCAGCCTGGTTGAGCAGCTGGAGTATGCGCAACTGCATTTTGTCTAGCTTCTCTTTTTGTGCCACGTTAACATAGTCGATGGCATGCTTGCCCACCTGAATATCTAGATGCACTCGAAGCTGGGCACCATTGAACCAGGCAGTGCTGTTGGAATGCATGCAGATGACATGCTCCCCGGGAGTGTGCGATATAATCAACAAGCGGGCCTGCGAGCTGTAAACGCGCGACAGAATCACCTTATCATCGCTGTCGCGCATCTCTACATGCATACCAATGCCGGGTGAAGATGGCATAAAGCCATTTGAACCCGGATCATATAGCTCCACCTTGTAATTGACTGCAAGAGAGAATAGGTGTCAGATCTTTAGCCAGCAGGCAAGGACGCTGCTTACCAATCACAGTTGTCTCATCGGGCACCTCTTCAATGAAGCATTTGCGCTCCGTTTCCGACATGTGAAAGTATAAACCGCAGGCGCTGTGTAGCGTGCATAAAACCAGGGCCAGGCAGATTAATTCGTTGCGCATATTTTAACAAAAATTCTTACTCGAACATGGACTATATGATGATATAACTAAATGAATCAAAGATTACACGTTGCAACGCAATAGGAAAACTGCAATTTCGCCATATTCTTATGACGCAAATATATTTCCTGGAGCAGCGTTGCCATATCGTCGAAAACTCTAAAGTCTGTCAGATTTATTGGCAGCTCGATGCACATTATTTGTACATTTCTTCAAAACAAGGGGTTATTTTGAAAAATAAAAAAGTAACTGACTGTTAAATGTCATTATTTAAGTATTATAATTTCCAATTAAACAAATCTGTAGGCTTAGTAAAATTCCAATTAGAAAGAAGGCGAGCTGTCTAACCACATCGGTGTGTCCAAATCACGATTCATTTCTTTTAAGGACACGTAAAACTCTATAGAATTGTCTAAAAAGCTGTCATATCGGTAAAATTTTCAGGCGATGATCCATTGAATTTTCCGATTTGTACATAATAAAGACCCATTTTATTTTTGAGTTTGGCTCCTGTCTGGTGCCCACAATATTCAATATATCAAGACATAATTAATTATGTTGTAAAACAATTCTTATGATTTTTCCTCCGTTGATTAACCTGGGATCCTGGTGCTCTGTTTCTATCATTCTGCAGTGAACCCCTGATTTTAAATCTACCTTCAAATAATAGTAGAATTATTTTTGGCGTAAAATTTGCTCGTAATTAAAAACTACCCAATTAGAGGGTATAACATGTACATTTTAAGTAAGGAGTCAACTTATTGCATATTATCTTCTTCGCAGTCGTCCATGTCTTCGTCGTCGTCCTCCTCCTCATCACTGGTAATATCTGGATCTGTAGCTTGTGCTCTGCACTTGGGACACTGACAAACGAATATATAATTTTCGCGCAACGTTTTATGCCTGGAATGGCGACTGCGCTCCAGCTGGCACTCATCCAAATATGAAATGCATATCTCATCGCCTTTCTGTATGGGCGCCACAGCCTTTAGTACGACTATATCGTTGGAGTAGGGAAACGTTGACTGTGCATTCGGAACACAGCTGTGATTTATCTTGCTCTGCAGTATGTACAAACCCGAGCCTTCGTTGTTGAGGAATTCACCTGCAACTGTTTTAACATGGGGACTTAATAAGCTGGTAACAAAAAATGCGAAATGCAACTTACAGTCGCCCACTTTGGCGTAGAGTTGGTCGATGACCTTATCAAGACTTTCCTTGTCCGCATCGGACAGCGGCAAGTCGGATACTTTGTTTACCCACTGGGCCAGAACGCTGGTGGCAATGCCCTGACTATTCGTGCCCAATATACCCATGAGGGTCTTGAACGCATCCGGTGTGGTGAACTGTGAAGTAGAGTGAACTTCTTTAAGCTGAATAAAACGCAAGCTTTAGGCGGCACTTGCCATGGCGAATTCCTCGTCCTTGAATGCATGGCAAAATGCCGTATATAGTTGCTCCATCTGCTGCTCAAAGTTCTCGCCCAGCATCTTGTGGTAGATCTTCTCTTCGCGATTGACAATCAGAGCTTGAAACGATTGCAGTTGCTCCAGGAACTCTGTCTTATTACTGCTTTGCTTATACATGGCCATCAGACGCACAATTAGCATTATCGTGCCCGTCTCTGGTGGATAGTGCATCTTCTTCCATGTCTCATTCAGCACGTTGATGGGGTGTGTGTCGTCCGCCCGAAAGGCGCCCATGCAGGCCACACGATGATAGCGCTTTTGTGCCTCTACCAAACAGTCTTCCGAGCAGTAGCGCACTTTGCAGCGTGCACACTGCGTAAATTGTGAAAACCAGGCAGCGGTGGGATCGTGTTCCACTAGGGGCACCATGACTGCCTGGTTATTGGCCAAACGGCGCACGTTCTCGAGCAGTGTCTCTAGCTGAAAGTAATCCGGAATGAGTGAAGCATCTGCGAAGTTAAAATTCGTACATACCGGTCGCATACAATGATCACAGGCTGCGTAGCCGTAGGCGATATTCCAGGAGAACTGATGTGACACGAACGGCTCCTCCTCGAAAATGATCTCATCGACTGCGAAATTTTTTGTTGCTATCATGGCGCGACCCTTGCCGGGCAGCTCCCGTATCTCAAAATAATTCATGTTGTCGCCAAACACAATTGCAATTCGGCATAAAGACAGCCAGTTAAATGCTCTTTGAATATGCACGTGCGAATTGGTTTGTTGATTTTATATCGATACCGATAATATTTAAGCGCTTGATATGGCAATATTGTTGCAATAGTTTTATGTGCATATAGTAATAGGTATCGATACTGTGGTGAAATTCGTTTTCTATTTGAAATGAATTTATTAAAGCAATAATAAGTATCACAACGAATTAACAAATATTTTACATATCTTTTTATTATTTCTTTTTTACTTCTTTGGCCGCTTGTGACTTCTGCGCCTCAATTTACGTTTATCAGTGATGGGCTCATATTTGTTATCGCAGACTATCGATACTTGTAGTATCGATATCGATGAGTATAGCGCCATGTAGCCGCCATACTTATCAATTTCAAATGTCGTATGACTAGACCTGTGTTTACTTCTTATATTAATCTGTAATGTTGCTTGTGTATATATAGGATAATGCCAGGCACGGTCTCAAACAAACCAGAAACAAAAATATAATTAATTATAACTGAAAAAAGTGAATGAGGAAATTCAAGAAATATTGTAGGTTGGCAAATTAAAACGATTTTTTATTTGTTAATTCGCTTTGCCGATAATGTGCTTGTTAATGGAACCTTGACACAATGTTTGAATACGAATCAAAGAGTTTTATCTTATTGCCTTATTACCATATTTTTTCCAAGTGTTTAAGTTAACTGCGAAGTTAGAAGTAGCTCTCTAAAATGAAAACCTGTTCAAAACTTAACGCTTATCTGTTCCTTTACGGATTTGAAAGGAACACACATCCTAGTATCCTTTTAGTCCAAACATATTAAATAGAAACAACTGTTAATTTATGACTTGTACTAAACTATTATATAATAATCAATTACATAATTTAAAATTTTAAGACATGCTAATGTAATTTGTTGATTTTGTTTTTTTTTTTTGTTTTTTTTTTAAATATAATATATATATAAACATTTTTGTTAACAGGTGTGTATGTGTGTGGTTGGTTGGGTTGTTGTGTTTTTAGTTGCTTGTTGTAAAATACATAATCATAATAATAGTTTATAATTGTAATCATATTTTCTCTCATATATCATAACTTTTGGGCCTAACAACTAATAATATTCAAATATAATTGTTTTTTTCTCTGAATATATGTTTTTATTGTTTATTTCCTTTTTGCTTGCTCACTTTGTGTTTGTATTTTGGGTTGTTTGTTTGTTGTTTAAATTAACAGTTTATTCACTAACCAGCGCCATTTCGCGCGCCGTAGGCGTGGCCAGCGTCTGGCCGAGCGCCGAGGCAGCGGAAACGGCGCTGCTTAGCCCATTGTCTTCATCCTCATTCTCTTTGCCTGTTCGCGCCGCCGCAGAAATTGCGACAGCGGCTGCCTTTTTGCGCTCCACTTCACGATCCTGATGCAAATCATCCTCTTCATCATCATCATCGTCGTCATCATCGTCATCGCCGCCTACATCATTGTCGGCTTGCTCATGCGCCTCATCGGCAAAGGACACTTCGGCTGGACTGTTATTGCTATCACCATTGGTCGTCGCCGTTGACGCCGCCGCCAGCTCATGCTGATTATTATTGTTGGCTTTGTCTTCACTGGCGGATTTATTATTATCACTATCAGCATCGCCCTTCGGCGCCGGCGTTGGCGCACCCGCTGCGGTTGCCTCCTCCTCGGGTATGTCCTCGATCAGGCTGCGATTGCCGGAGCTGGCAGCCGATGGACTGCGCGGCGGCGCTGTCTCCGCTGACTCCACCTCGACTGCCTTGCGCAACAGCACGGGATCGGAGGCACGCAGCGAGCTCTCCGAGCCGCCAACACCCTCGCCGCTCGGCCGCAGCACCAGATAAAGCAATATGTCTGAGAGGGAAATGATGCCAATCACCTTGCGCTGATCATCGACAACGACCAGGCGATGCACCTCGGCGCGAACAATTCGCTCCATGATCGTGTACAGCGACTCATCCAAATTGCACTTTTGGACGCCCTCGAACCACTCGTTGCGATGCTCGTTCGCCTTGCGCAGCGAAACATCGAGATCGTTGTAGGTCTTCTCGGCAGCGAGATTCTGTTAAAGGATTAAGACAAATGTAAATCAATATACTGGACTACTCTATGGATCAACTTCAGGTTACACTCACAATCACATCAAACTTGGCATAAATGTCAACGAGTCGTCCCTCGGAATCGACCAGTGGCAGCGCCGAGACGCGGCGCTCCACAAACTTCTTGAGCGCTGTGATGATGCTGGTGTTCTCATCGGCGGTCTCGATGTTGTCGTAGGTGCCGATCTTCAGATCGCGCAAGCTCTTCTCCATATATGCGGGCTTTGGTAATGCATTAATCTGCAAGCGAGTGGAATAATGCCTTATATTATAATATGCAACATGATTTTGATATTTGTTATTGCAGTTGTTAATGGCGTGTACTCACATATAAAAACAGGAACCTCAGTATGCGTTTATGTGTCAATATGTACAAAACATTGCCATTCTCTGGATTGATCACAGGCAGTCGATGAATGCGGCTGTGTATGAGAATTTTGATGGCATCGTAAAGGGAAGCGTCTGGTCCGATGCTGACCAAGGGCATCACCTGGTTATGTAGCACACCTGAAAATCAAGAAATCAAGTAAAGTAAATCAATAAACTCATAAAATAAAAACAATAGATATATATATATATATTATTTAAATATAATACTGACTGCGCCACGTGTCCAGTTTGTGCTCCTCCAGCTGTTCCATGGACGCATTGGGTGACTTATAATACATTTGCAAGATCTTGATAAAGTCTGTGATGGTCAGCATGCCCACAAACTGTTGCTTCTCTGAATCCCAGAGCGGGGCCGCACGAACACCATTATAGACCAGAGCATAGAAGGCCTTTTTCACCAGCAGCTGAGTGTCGAAGACGACCAGTTTTGCGGAGGTGGGTATCAGATCGTAACTCTTGTGGAAACGAAAGAACTTGACAAAGATCTGTGAGTCGTCCTCCTCTGAAAAAGATAAGAGAGAGCACAGTGTAAGAAATGGGTTGATATTAGGTTTCACTCTTAATGCAATAATTGCACTCAATTTTAGCTACAACTCCCAGCACCTTCTTTGAGCAGTTGGGCAAGCAGACGCTTCCAGCCGTCGGAGATTTGCTCAAACTCCTTGATGCTCTCCAGTGGATAGTAGAGCACATCGGTGGGTCGACCGCTGCCGCCGAGCACCAAGCGGCCCGCATGATTCGAGTAAAAATGCAGCTGTAACATGCGGGGAGCGGTGCTGCGCGGTCTAGCGGGTGGCCTGAGATGAGCCACAGCGAGGCACCATCAGCTCAATGGAGGCTGTCAATTAACTGGAGCACACACAATCGATTTGATATCACAGCGCTAATTGAATGTTCAATTTGGCGTTTAACAGCAGCCTAACAGAGGCTTTACAGAGACGCACCGTTCCACGCGCTTCTCACTGTTACCATCTCATAAACACGTAAAACAAATGACAAATGCACCGAAAATAAAGTATTAAATATTTATTTTCAATTGTTATTCTATTTGTTATTCAGTTTAGCAACAACGACGACAACTGCTTGCTGTTTGCTGTGATATATATTTGCGAAAGCTAGCGATAAATTTGCTTTTGGTCTGCATTTCAATAAATTACATTTAGACATTTTAATTAACATTAATTTAGCGTAAAAATAAAAGTGTGTGGCAAGAACGAGCAACAGCCAAAAACAAATTGACGAGCGCAAGAATAGTTTCTACAATTTTCGCAGCTACAAAATGCTCTTAATCAAAACACGACCATTTCACGCAATTACCGCTAGAGAGGCCCCTTAAAAGGGGCGACGTGCTCTACGTATACGAATAAACAGTGAGGCGTTTCGTAGGGTGTTTATCAAATAAATTTATGTCATCTAAAGTAGAATATTCAAAAGCCCCTCCGCCATCAACTGTCATCGGCTGATAAATGCAGAACCCGAATCTGAACAAAATATTATGCATTGTCTGGGTATTCGGAGCGTCTCTTAAAAAAATGTGGGTAAATATTTGTGCCAAGAAATTAATTAGCCCGCGCAAACACTACTAACCCCTCTGTTTCTGACACGCGCGCTCAACGTATCCCAGAAAATAGCTGAAGATGTACAAGTATGCGATATTAAAATTTATGGCAAGTGCCTTTGACTTTGAGCTGATGGAGAAAGAGGAAAACTATTTGGCAAATGGGAAAATTTAGAAATTTGGACATCCAAATGGATCAACGTCAAGCCCCAAGGGGGTTGAGTATATGAGAGTATGGTAGAAGCAGCAATTGATTCTTATTTTGTGCTTTTATCACGATTATCTATTTAATCATTTTTGATCAATTTCAAAATATAACTCCATTCCATACTTGAACCCAAAGGTTCAACTCTTACAAGTATTGAAATATTTAATTTAAGTACAATTGGTCAACTTCGAAGTTCCATTCAATAAAGAAATGCAGATTATTCCTTGCCCGTATTTTGATTTTGATTTTTTAAATTCATATATTTGCTTCGTCTTTATTATTTCATCTCGCACAGATATTTGTTTTTTAACAAATTATGCGCTGTCCGCGTTGACAAAGCTGCCAAAAAGAGAGCAGAAGCGAAATCTAAATAAAAAGCGAAGGTTGCTCGAGTTAAACGAAATATAATCTTAAATATATCTATGCCCGAAACATGTTTCCATTTTAAAATGGAGCCTTTAAAAATGTTTAATGAATTTTGTTTTAAGTTTGTTGCCAGGCCAAAGCGTTAAATGCAAAAACTATGATAAAAAACACGAAAAAAAGAGGCAAATAGAAAAAGGTGAAGGCTGTTCCCATCGCATTGTGTGTGTGAGTGAGTGTGTGTGTGTGTGTGTGTAGGGGGGAGGGTGTGTATGTGTGTGTTTGTATGCTATCTAGCTATATATCTCTTTGGGTATTATCGCTTGAGCATTTGTTGTTGTTGCTGTTCTGATTGATTTTTCTTCTTTTTTTTTGTATATCGTTTTTTTTTTTTATATTTCTTTTTGTTTTAGCGCGTCGCGCACAAGTTAATTAAAATGCTTTGAGTTCTTTTTCATTATTCATTGTTGTTGTTTTTTTTTTTTTTAAACAATTGCAAAACAATTTCAATTGTGGGTGCTGCTGCTGCTGTGGGCTGGCGTCGCGGCGCCTCAATGAATATATAGACGAATATTCGTATTCGTCTGAGCGATTTCTTTCTTTTAAATTCTTCAAGAATGACTAACGTCTTTTAGAAGGTGGGAAAGCGGGGGCGGGTGTCGGCCTTAGACCTTAAACTGCACTTTGGACTGCCCGATCGTTAGTTAATGTCGAACATTTCGATATATTTGTTATATTCTATTAACAGTTAGTATATATTGTCTTCTTTTTTCTCTTGAAGCGCGGAGGTTTGCTTGTTTATATGTCGCCCGTCCAAACGTCTCGGGATTTTATCATAAACTGATTCTACAGTCTGTTGCTGTTTTTGTATATTTCGCTTTTCCCACTGGTCGGAAAAGCGAAAACTTTTTCGCGTATAGCGCAAAACAAAACAACACAAAAACAAGAAAGAATTCTTTTGTTGAGCGAGCAGCCGAACATTAAATACCCTCACCCAGCATAAAAGAGTTATACATATTGTACCAAAGTACTTTCAGAAAATTGTTTATAAATTTCGGTTTTAAACGCAAAATTCAATGCATAGGAACAACATCAAAAAACTTAAATAAAGTACAAACAATTCATTGCAATTTGCATGCTTAAGATAGCGTCAAATGTAACAGTCATTGAGTTTTCATTGGAAGTAACACGGTTATAATAATTAAATACATCCTAATACATAGAACATGTACTAATTTCTGCACTAGTTGCATATCTGATAATTATTCTAGTTCTTTTAGGCTCAGAGACTAGCTGTTCTTATCAAGAATATATACACTTTATATGATCGTTACATATTCCATGGCAAAGTGTAAACAGTCTCCGCTAGGGTATATAAATCTACAGAATGAGAGAAGAAGGCGTGTACACCAACGTATATTTAAAATCAATTTCTAAATTACTCGCAGCTCGCCTGGTGCTGAAATAAACAACCAAAAATTGCGGAACAATTTTATAATCTATAGCGGCAGATCCGTACCAACTATCATATTGAATATGACGCTAATGATGTTCATGAAATGCCTCAAATTGGCAACAAATTGCACATATTTCAATTGGCAAAAAGGCAAACAGAGAAGTCAGACAGTGAGAGAGAGAGAGAGAGAGAGAGAGAGAGAGAGAGAGAGAGAGAGAGAGAGAGAGAGAGCGAGAGCGAGAGAGAGGTAGAAGGGAATTGCAGATAGATCATTTTCGGGCGTACTTAGGAGCTTATAATTAGCGCAAATGAAATTAAAAACAGGGAGGTGTGTTCGGCATCCACGTCAAATAGATACGCATCACTAATGGACCCTATACATGTACCTAAACATATACATACACATAATATATGCGCATGTAGGTATATATGTATGTACATAACTATATAATGTTTGTGTCTCCTGGACGCCTACGTAAATTCTGTACATTTAATCCCTGTGATATATGATTTTGATTAAATCAAAAAATATATATATAATATATATCTGTTCTTAGTGGTTAAGCGTCGTGTGCCGACGTACAAAAAAAAAAAAAAAAAAAAACTGCTGTCTCGGCCTCTTGATCAGTTGCCAAGAGTGGCTGCTAATTTATTTGAACGATATTTGAATTTGTTTAACAGACTTCCCCTTACCCTCTCAGAGAGGTACTATTTCGTTTACTTACCGAAATCTGATAGATTGACTTTGTCTAAGAAGGGGTCGGCCCGGGGTAACTGCAAAGAAAGAAAAAAATATAAATTTGTTATAATTACGTTGCGTAATAAGCCATTAACAGAATGATGTGGGTTTTTCAAGGAGTAGAAGATTTTCATCTAATACGTAATACGCCCAACATAGAAGCTAACATTACGTAAGCAACAACATACTTATGTTAAAAGAGCTTAAATTTGTATTACGCTCTTTAATGTAAATATAAATCTAGCTTACAATACGTAAGAATGTGTTACGGATGAATGAACTTAGTGGGATTCACACTACACAAAAAAGTATTTTTCTTATGTTACGGTAGGCAAAAACCTAGGTATGTTAACGTAACGTTTACGTCAAGTACCATATTCAAGTGAACGTTATATAAATAACGTTATAATTATTTAACGTGTTACCAAAATATAAATACAAATGTATTTACAATGCGTATTAAAGCGCTTTACATAAAGCAAAGTACTTTTAACAGTATATACACCAAAAAAGATAAAAGCTGTCAGATAAATTACTCAAATAGAACATGTGTACTAAGTGAGTTAACAAATATTATTTGATTACACTAGTTGGGGGCAGCCTCCATTATCATTTCCAAGGTCCGATCGGGAGACCGAACAAAAATGTTTATATTTGGGTCAAGCAATGATTGGCACGTTTTCAAATTGTCTGATAACTGTAAAGCCTATGTACACACCTATGTATGTAGCTACATATGTAGTATATGTGTACATATGTGTGTAGATATAAATGATAGCGAGCAGTTCTCAAAGACGTAATCGCTTAATCACAAAATGGGCGACGCAATCGCAGATAAAAGAATGCAAACTTCAATTAAATATTTATGAACTACTCCCTCCCTCCTCTCTCTCTCTCACTCTTTCTCTCTCTTTCTTTTCCACTCTCCAGAATTGTTGTGCGTTCTGTGTGCATACATTTTCGCATATAGTATATAAAATAATAGTTTCATTTAAAATTAGCATTGAAATGTGCAATTGTGGAACAAGCTGCGTTCGTAAGTGCCATATGCACACAGGCATTTTAACAGTTTGCAATCTCTGTAAACAATTATACAGTGAGTGAATGAGAGAGTGAGAGGGAGAGAGAGAGAGCTTATTGAGCTCTCATTTCTCAACAAGCTCTCAGCTGCTAAAAATTACCAAATGCGACAGACGCGTCAAGGCAATTAAATCGACACTGAGCGCCAGCAAAGGCTGTTTGGCAAAATAAGGTGAATGCAAGATAAAAATGCCTAAAAATGCAATAACAAAGAAGCAAAAACAAAATGCTCGAAAGCTTAGCTGTCAACGATATCCCAGTCCCCCGCTATTGCTCTCACTCTCTCAACTTACGCTAATTTTTCGCCCTGACTGCAATTGTTGTTGCTGCTGTCGCTTCCATTGCTCGATCTGCTCAATGCTGTAGTCGCTGCGTCGCCGCAGCAACAGGCACTGATGCACAGGAGCGGGTGACGAATGGCGGGGAGAATTGTGGGTGCTTTGGCTGCTGCTGCTGCGTCGCTGATAGACAAGTGACTGCTGCAGTCCAGTTGCAGACAGTTCACTGTGGGCAGCTGCCGGTGAATGACCTGCGGATAGACGCTTGCCCGGCACCAAGCCATTTGCAATGCTATTGCTATTGTTGTTGCGCTGCTGTTGCTGCGACAGCGGCTGCAGCGGTTGCTGCTGCTGTTGTAGTTGTTGGTTATTGTTGTGGTTTATTGTTGCCTTGCGACGGAGCAGAACTGCCGGCATTGCAGCCGACAGAGTCGCTGAAAGCTTTTTGCCATCTTTTTGTTTGACTTTTGTTTTGCCATTATTGTTGTTGCTATTGCCGCTGCTGGAGCTGATGTTGTCATCGCGTCTGCTTACGTGCTGCGATTGACGTTGACCGTCCACAATATCTGTGAGATTTGCGCTATTTAGCAGCTGATAGTTTGCACTGGCCGTGGGCCCGTTATTTGACAGCAGCGTGGGCAGATGACTGTAGCGCTTCTTTCTGTATAGCGGCGAATTGCTGAGAGAGCGCGCCTTGCGCGCAACCTTCGCATGCAAGCTGTCATAGCTGCCGCCAATGTTCTCGCCTTTTCTCTCTCTGCTGCTGTTGTTGTTGTTATTGCTGTCATTATCGGGCAGATTTGGGTCAAAGCGCACGCTTAATTTCCCATTATTACTGTTGTTTTTGTTGTGTGGTAATTTGGAAGCTGTCTGCTGTGACACACCTGCCGCAGCCGCTGCCGTTGATGCAGACGGCAGCACGCCAATGCGAGGCGTGCTCGACTCAAAGGCGGAATAGCGACGGCGATACATGTAAAAATACACAAACACACGCGCACTTAAATATATTTAGTATTCACACACACACGCACAAGCTCACGCATGCACTGATAAAACGCTCTCGCTTGTAATGGAAACAATGCGTAGATGTTGGAAAATTCGCAAGCGACCGTTGCTTTTTCTGTTTGCTATTCTCGGTTCCGGGCACGTCTGCGCGCTCCCAAATGTAAACGTAAACTGGTTAACAGTTTGTTGAGCGTTGCTGCCATATGATCGTCACATATGTATGTATGTATGTATATGTGTGCGTGTGTGAGTGCTAAAGCTTAAGCAAACACATATACGGCAAAGAGAGACCAATCTATGGCGTATCGAAGTTCAAACACTCTAAACAAAAGGTTTTCATGCCGTTGAATATTTATCAATATTTATGTGGTTAGAGTTAGCTATTAGTTGGCTAATAAAGAGGTTTATAGAATCAACTGCGTGTCGTTTAATCTGTAATTAATTGTACCTAAATACTTTGCACTGCAAAGATTACCAGTTGCATAGTAATAAACATATACTCTGGCTATGCAAGTGTATAATAGCATGGCATTCATTTGCTCGCATTCTTGAAGCTTCTTCAAAAAAAGAAGAAAAAAACAACAAATAGTGAGCGCGTGAGAGAGCAAAGGCAAAGAGAGTACCAAGTGCTAAGTGCTCACCCACATATGGGATAAGCTGGTGGCGACTGCTAACAGCGCCGTTACAGAGAGAGCACGCGTCGAAGAAGGCCGCACAGAAGTGAAAAGCTTCTTTTGTAAATTTATTCGAGGGGCTGATAAACTAAGTAAACTGTGACGAAGATTGTTGGTTTTGAGAGAGAATTCAATTTCAAATTAAGATTCAAATTCAGTTAAACTACGCATGAGGCAATGGCATATGAATTATGTGAAATGCGCGCGATAATTAATCATAATTAGCAGAGATACACACAACCACACACATAATAAGTAAATATGCGAGGCTTTCACCGCAGCTGACGTCAGGAGCATTAAAGAGAGGACTTTAGCTATTCTTGTTATGAGCGTAAAATGTCGCACTTGGCAATACAAAGCGCAATAATTGTGGCAAAAAACCAGTTCCGCCTTAATGACCACGTTGCGGAGTGTGAAAAAATTGTAAACAAGGCTCTTGTAAGAACATTTAAGCCAATAACGTTGACCTTGTGGTTACGTCAACAAAACATAAAACAAAGTACTTGGCGATAATGGTAACGTTTGATGACAATGCGCTCAAATTGGAGCAGCGCACACTCCAATTGATTAAATTAATAAATTGATGACTAACTGTTTTCGACTTATCATTATTATTATTAACAGGAAAAACCACATCAAACTGTTGTTGCAAACAAGAACAATACATTTTGAAGCTATTGACACTGTACATTAACAGCTGTTAAGCGGCAATTTTAGCATACATATGCATTAAAAGTGCTGCATACTCGAGGGCTGCAGGGAAAAAGAGACGCAAAGTAAGCTGCTTGTAACGAAAAGCTTGCGGTAGGCAACAAGCCCAAGAAAACTATAGTCGCAGCTGACCCAGAAGGCAAATTACGTTAACGAATTGCGAATGAAAAGGGAAAGGGAAGGAGATGAACAAATAACTTAAGTCATTTGTCAATGTCAAACTTATGTCAGAGAGGAGCACAAAACTTTTGAAAACTCTTAAGGGAATTTCATTCAAGAATAAATAATGATATTAAGGAATATATACATTATATGGAAGAACAGGATGTGATGAATAGTTAACTTTTTGGTAACTTCAACAATTAGACAGATACGTTAGATGAATTTAACATTTAAAGGCTTCAATAGCAAAATGAGAACTGAAATCAGACATAACAGAGAGAGAGAGAGCGAGAGGAAGAAGAAAGCTTTAGGTTCTCTTTGGCGTATACATTATGTTGTATCTAAGTCTCTCAAGGGAAATAATAAGTACTAATCTTCAACAAAACTTAAACAATTAAAGTAAGTCTCTAAAAAAGGGATTACTTACGCCTCTCGAGTCCCTAAACAGTATGGCTGCATGGTGAGGATCTAGGGTGCCGTCGCCGCGGTAGCTACGGCCGGCAGCACCAACTGAAGCGCGTCGTTTCTCCAAGTCAGCCGAAGCGCGACGCATGTGAGCACCTGATAAAAGAGAAGAGCACAGGTAAGGAAAGGTATATAAGGTAACTGTATTCACATAGAGAAGAGCTTAAACTAAGCCTAACTGTGGGTAGACAGCAAGTACCAGGTGTTTGATAACGCATTTTACCTTCGTTGACGATGCGATCGTAGATCTTATAGGTCTCTCCACAGTCCTCCAAAATGCGATTGGGTCGGCTGAGCGTGTTCACATCTAAGCTCTTGGAGCGTGTGCGAAAATTCTCCTGTGGATCGTTCTGCGGTGATGTGCAAACACTTTGAGCATCGTGATGCTTGCGCGGCCACATGTGAATCTTTTTCCCAAAATTCTTCAACATCTCCTGTATAGAGTGATGATGATGATGATGGTGATGGTGATGATGGTGCTTTTGCTTGAGCTGCCCATCCTTGTGCGGCGACTGACCCGACTCCCGTTCGTCAATGCTGAGACTCTTGGCAAACGATGAATTGTCGAACCGATGTCGTCCCGCGGGCACTGGCAAGCCGCCGCTGTCTATGCTGTACACGGACTGACGCGATCCTCCGGCACTGTAGTCGTCCATAGTGTTGGCTGCGGCGCTCACCCTGTGAAATATCGATATGGCGGTGGGTCGCTCGGAGCTGCGCTGCTGTCCGCTGGCGCCCGTGTGCGTGAAATACTGATGATCCGCCTGGGTCTCATAGATGTCGTCGAGATCGTGTGGAAAGTAACCGCCCGACGGTTGTGCTGCTGGCGGCGAACCGAATTCGGGTGCGCCTCGCCGCATGCTCTGCAAGGAATATGTGCGTTTATGTGGGATTCATTGGGTTGGTTGAGTTGGATTGCGATGGCACCCTGAATGAGAGACCACAGCACTTGTTTCTAATTTCTCATCATCTATCCCTAGTAAAAGTGCATCGAATAAATTGTTTTTTGTCTAACCAATCTTTCTCATATTTAAGTCAACTAATCGATACATTGTATACAAGATGAACTTGCCCCTTCTTAATACGTCAGTTTACCTGTGGTTAACAGGAGTGAACATTATTATTAATCACATCTCCTACGAGTTACATAAGTATTAATATCAACCGAAATCCAATTCTAATTTAGTAGATAAGTCGCGATTTGTAGTAATGTCGTTCAAGTCGAGCATTCGCCTGTTGCTTGTTATCTATAGATTTTAATTTCAACACTAGTTAACGATTGTAATCAATGATCGATAAATCACGGCTATTATAATAGATGATCTTGATGCAATGCATCTCTAACAAAATTGTCATCACTAATCGGTAGATCGTGACACTCCTAGAGATGGACTTGACAGATTTTGCGTGATTCGATGACAAACGTTTAAAAGCTGATCTAAATATAACGCAATTTCAAATGCTGCAGTCCAAACAGGGTCAAACACAACTGGTTTATCGCTGCTTACGCCATAAATTGCCGGACTGTGAGATCTTTCGAAGAAACTGCGCTTCGAGGAGGGTGTGCGCTTCAGGCTGCCACTGATGCCGGATCCACTGGTGTAGCAGCTGTCATAGGAGCTACGCTGTCCGCTCTGCTCGCCGCCGCTGGTCTTCTGGAAGGGCGAGTTGTTGTAATGATGATTGGCCAACGATTTGTGGGCGTCCGGCACGGCCTGTGGCTGTGAGTGCCGCTCCGTCTGCCATTGGCCAAAGGCGCTGCCCGTGACGCCACCCAAGGTCGAATTGTTTGAGTTGTTTGAGTTGCTGCTGGAACTATTTGAGGACGATTCCATGCTGTACAGTGTATGGCCCTGCAGAGAGGATGGCTCATAGGAACTTTTGACGCTGTTCTGCTGGGACCAGCTGTCGGTGCTGCTGGCGCCGACGCCGGCGCTGCCAACGCTTATTTGTTTCTCCACGGCGTGCTGCCTGTAGAGATGGGAGATACCGTGCATTTCGTCGCCGTTGTTACACTTTTATAGCGCAGTGTAAAACAAGTGCTGTCCGTTGTTTTTGTTTTTGTCAATAGCAGCTTATGTGTTTGTCAATTTTTTTTTATTTACTTAAGTTTTAATAATTGCACTCTTCTCTCTCTCTCTCTCTCGCTCTCTTTTGTTTGTAATAGTCACATAATCCTCGCTCTGTAAATGAAAAGCACATCAAATGTCGTTGTGATTCTTCTTCTTGCTTGCACTTGCACTTGTTAAAGAGCTTTGTGCTTTTTGCCTCTTTATCGCGCGTGGAAAAACGTCGTTAAGTTGAACGCACCTAAATTAAGTCAAAGCTGCAGACAACGTCAGCGTCAACGCCAACGCCTCTGCGCGCGTGTTTTTATATACATACATATGTATATTATTTTTTTATTTGTTTGCTGCGTTATTATATTTATAAATGCGAGCAATGTCTGCGGTGTGTGTTTATATTTATTGTTCTATTTGGGCAAGCTATTAACAAATTTACATTGGCATAACAGTAGCTGTAACAGTTTGTGCAAACATTTGCCTGCTGTTAAGCGACTTAACAGTGGCAACGTCAGCGACCAGCGACTGCGCACTTGAAAAAAGTTCAACCCACTACCCCCACATGGCCGCAGTGTCAATGCGCGTATAGCTTTTGTTTTGCATTGTTACTGTTGCAGCAGCAGCTGCTGCTGTGCTTTTGCGGTTCTTTTGCTTGTTTTTGTTGTTCTCGCGCTCAGTTGTGAATTCTCTAGGTACACTCCCACATACACGCATAAACAATGACAAACTGTGCATTAAGCAAACGAAACGATGTTGCTTGTGACATTTTGGTCACCTGATCGCCTGTCGGATGTAAGTATGTATTTGCATACAAATATATTACAGCTATCTTAACAAGAAACCCGCAAATTCGTCCGCTTAAAAAATATATTAAGAATTAGGAAGAATATTCGTTAAATTTAGGTAAAACTAGTATTTTCACAGAATCAAAGATATTATTAGATTGAGGCTAAAGAAAAGGACCTACAATGCAGGTGACCAATATTAAAACTTCTTTCACCTATGCCAGTGCGAGTGGTTCGATAACACTTATGACAATCTTGTCGAGTGAGCCACTCAGGCCACTCAGGCAATTCAAAGCTTCAATAAATACAAATGGCACATACATATATGGTATACAGTTACTCTCACTTTAAAGCTGATTGGTATTTTAAGAGCACGCTTTGCTTGGATTTAAATAAACTTTATCGCGACGTAAGAAAAAACAATAACAACGTGCGAGAGAGACAAGACTATTTGCAGTAGTAGCAGCAGCGGCGGCCGCAAGCATAGTTCTATTTTTACTGTAAACTAACGAAAATAGTGTAAAAAAGAAACAAGTGGCAGGCAACTATGATAAATAGGCGACATGAAAGACAATTTTGAGCCCTGATGTGTAATTACGATTATCGATTACATTTTTAAGCCGCACAGAAAAGCTGTTGAAATATTTGCGCAATCGAGCGTAAGTTCAATTGAGGTTAAGTTGCAAGCAACCAGGCCCCCGCCGCCTTTAACCACAACTGTAATCAAATTTGTGTAAATTAAAGCGAATTATTGAGACGCACATACACACACACGCGGCTAAAAAGAACATACACAAGCACACGACCGCTTGTATAAAAATGCCAGCACAGACTGAGTACGCAAGAATGAAAGGAAAACTGTGCACGTGCAATACGTAAACAAGTGCCAGAGAGCATAGACAAGAGAGAGAACAGCGTGTGTGGGAGAGTAAAAGACATTGGTTTCCAACTGTATGATGCTACCCGCTAACAGCGCGCTGTTAAAGCTAACAGCATAGCGGCATTTGTGGGTGGTTCTTGTTTACATACCAAACATGGCGTGGCCATCAGCGTAATGAACAACACTTCTCATTAATAATGACCTTGTGCAATGTGCACGGGCAAGCTTAGTGCAATTGAACAGCCATTTTCCACTTGAAAATACATTAACAGGGTGAAATGTAAATGTTTAGTGCTTAATGCGCACACCTTTTTCACTGCCCACTTTCTTTTGAGAGCGATATAAATAAAAGACCCAAAAAAAAAGCAAACAAATCTTTAAGAACTACGAAATAAGAGAACGCAAAAGACAAAAACGTGTTCTATGCCAAAAAATAAAAAATTAAGTCTAAGTAGAGCGAAAGGCTCAACGCATGCGCTGCTATGAAAGTGAAAGTATATAAAGGGGAATACACATATGCACATACATACATACATGCATATGGATTGGCGTGTATTAGCTCATAGCTGTGCTTCTCGTGGAATCCGAATTGCGCATTTAGGTCAAGTTTATAAAATATTTAAAACTTATCAGATCTACAGCTGTCACTGCTTGAAAATTGAAAATTCATAATCACTGATAAGCCTTATCAAAGCGCCGCCGTTTAACCAAGACAGACCCCCACTAGACAGGCGTTAAGATAAGCAGCCAGTAAATTTAGTCGTTGCTGTTATTTTGGGTGCAACTTGTCAACAAGTTGAGAGCCCAAATAAAAAGAATGTGTTTACGTTTTTGATTGACCGCTCGGATTGGACGCACGTTAAAAATAAGTAAGTGCAGTCGGGTGAAACTGACTGTGCAATACTCTGTTAATAGTGTAAAGCCAGCTTTTTCTTGACGCTTCTTGATAAATGGAATGCGTGATATTCAAGCTGTGAAATATCAGTTTGTGGGCGTGGCTGTAATATTTCTAACTCGATCTTTGGATAAGATCACTAGAGAATATTGGGTGTAATATTGGGAAGCCAATATACTCGCTTTAGCTCTGTGAAAATATCTAAAAATTTCAACGGCAGGCAAACATATTGTTTGTTTATTTACTTTTTTCTTGGTTAAATAAGTTGGCTTAAGTGGCCAGCATTTACCTTGAACGTAATTGGGAATCGGATATGTAACTATATATATAAAGTATATATGTATTATTTGCATATATAATCATATTTGGTCAAGTTTGTCGCCCTGCGTCATGCATTGAACATGCGCCCAACATTTGGCCAAAAGTTCCAGAAAATTGTCAAGTTATGCGAATTTCTCAAGTTTTTTACTTTT